GTTAATTATTCATATTTCCCCATGAGCTAAATTCGCTACAATATGCAAGTGCTATGACAAGTCTCGGTTAGCTTAACGCAGTACACGTAGCAAGGTTTATATATATATATATATACAGTGGGTACGGAAAGTATTCAGACCCCCTTACATTTTTCACTCTTTGTTATATTGCAGCCAGTTGCTAAAATCATTTAAGTTAATTTTTTTTCATATTAATGTACACACAGCACCCCATATTGACAGAAAAACACAGAATTGTTGACATTTTTGCAGATTTATTAAAAAAGAAAAACTGAAATATCACATGGTCCTAAGTATTCAGACCCTTTGCTCAGTATTTAGTAGAAGCACCCTTTTGATCTAATACAGCCATGAGTCTTTTTGGGAAAGATGCAACAAGTTTTTCACACCTGGATTTGGGGATCCTCTGCCATTCCTCCTTGCAGATCCTCTCCAGTTCTGTCAGGTTGGATGGTAAACGTTGGTGGACAGCCATTTTCAGGTCTCTCCAGAGATGCTCAATTGGGTTTAAGTCAGGGCTCTGGCTGGGCCATTCAAGAACAGTCACAGAGTTGTTGTGAAGCCACGCCTTCTTTATTTTAGCTGTGTGCTTAGGGTCATTGTCTTGTTGGAAGGTAAACCTTCGGCCCAGTCTGAGGTCCTGAGCACTCTGGAGAAGGTTTTCATCCAGGATATCCCTGTACTTGGCCGCATTCATCTTTCCCTCAATTGCAACCAGTCGTCCTGTCCCTGCAGCTGAAAAACACCCCCACAGCATAATGCTGCCACCACCATGCTTCACTGTTGGGACTGTATCGGACAGGTGATGAGCAGTGCCTGGTTTCCTCCACACATACCGCTTAGAATTAAGGCCAAAAAGTTCTATCTTGGTCTCATCAGACCAGAGAATCTTATTCAGGTGTTTTTTAGCAAACTCCATGCAGGCTTTCATGTGTCTTGCACTGAGGAGAGGCTTCCGTCAGGCCACTCTGCCATAAAGCCCCAACTGGTGGAGGGCTGCAGGGATGGTTGACTTCTACAACTTTCTCCCATCTCCCGACTGCATCTCTGGAGCTCAGCCACAATGATCTTTGGGTTCTTCTTTACCTCTCTCACCAAGGCTCTTCTCCCCCGATAGCTCAGTTTGGCCAGACGGCCAGCTCTAGGAAGGGTTCTGGTCATCCCAAACGTCTTCCATTTAAGGAATGGAGGCCACTGTGCTCTTGGGAACCTTAAGTGCAGCAGAAATTTTTTTGTAACCTTGGCCAGATCTGTGCCTTGCCACAATTCTGTCTCTGAGCTCTTCAGGCAGTTCCTTTGACCTCATAATTCTCATTTGCTCTGACATGCACTGTGAGCTGTAAGGTCTTATATAGACAGGTGTGTGGCTTTCCAAGTCCAATCAGTATAATCAAACACAGCTAGACTCAAATGAAGGTGTAGAACCATCTCAAGGATGATCAGAAGAAATGGACAGCACCGGAGTTAAATATATGAGTGTCACAGCAAAGGGTCTGAATACTTAGGACCACGTGATATTTCAGTTTTTCTTTTTTAATAAATCTGCAAAAATGTCAACAATTCTGTGTTTTTCTGTCAATATGGGGTGCTGTGTGTACATTAATGAGGAAAAAAAATTAACTTAAATGATTTTAGCAAATGGCTACAATATAACAAAGAGTGAAAAATTTAAGGGGGTCTGAAATATATATATATATATACACACACACACACATATATATAAATATATATATATAAAACGAAAACAAGCAGTTAGAAAACAAATAGAGAGTGCAAGTGTTAGAGGGTCAAGTCAACAAATAGATCAAATAGAATTAGAATAGAGAGTGCTAGAGTTAGAGGGTCAAATAAGGATGGAAGAGATGTGCTTTTAGCCGATTCTTGAAGATGGCGAAGGACTCAGCGGCTCAGAAGTCCGTGAAAGTGATTTTGTGCCTCTTTAGGATGATTTCTTTCATTAACTAAATATGACCTTTTTGTTCATTTAAAAACATTAAATTACTCCTAACTAAAGCTAAAATAAAAATGTTACATTTAAACTTTTTTTAAAAATCTGAAACTAATAAAAATGACAAAAGTGCATAACAAAATTATTAAAACATATGAAACCTGAAAATATTCAAATAAAAGCTAAATTCAAAATATTTATAAAAATTGTATATAAATACTGTAAGGATTTAAATAATACCAAAATAACACTGCTCTGTACGTATTAGTGTACTTGCACTATAACATGAACATTGTAATGCAGATGTGACCGGATGTTGCTCGGCTCATTTACAAGAGGCTCAGCGCGCTCCACTCGTGTCCTTTACCCTGCGCACTCCTGTACAATGCTAATGCTCTGATGTAATTAACCTGGAGTTAATTCCCATCTCTCCTGCAGGAATCTCCTGGAATACCTGCCAGACTGGGTGTGTGACAGCAGGAAGATTGAGGTGCTGGATGTCTCCCATAATCTGCTGTCTGAGCTCCCGGCCAGGTGTGTGTGTGTGTGTGTGTGTGTGTGTGTGTGTTCTGATATATACAGTATATGGTTTTTGAGGACACAAATGTGTATACTGACGTACTACGACGTAAACATGGTTTGTGAGGACACTTCCTGTGTCCCTGTAAACCAAAAAGGTTCAAATAAACATGCTAAATGGTGTTTTGTGAAATGAAAAAAATTGCCAGTAGTTTTCTGTGAGGGGTAGGTTTAGGTGTAGGGTGATAGAAAATACAGTTTGTATAGTATAAAAACCATTACGCCTATGGAGAGTCCCCGTAAACCACAAATGCAAGTGTGTGTGTGTGTGTTTAGACTGTCATGAAGTGCATTTGCATCTTCCCCAGTTTCCATCAAAAAAACTGTTCCCCCATTCCAGAATCTTAATGTCAGCATTTTGTACTTATTTATTCAACAAAAATTGCCCATTTGATTTGAATGATGTGGGTTAAAGCGACTGTCTGGCCAGACGGTGGATCTGAATAGAAACGGGCCGGCGTTCATCAGCAGACGCTTGATGAGGCCACTCTGAAAGCAAAGCAAAGTGATGTAAACGCCAAGCAGATGAAAGCACCATTTCCAGCTAATTCCACATTAACATTCAGTCATTTGCATCTGAAAGAGCTAAAAGCCGTGCACAAATGAGATAATATGCGGCTTGAAGTTTGTGTCCCATTTGAGAGTGCTGTGAGTGCTGCATGAAAATGCTGTGTTGCTGTTTTGAAGGAATGGTTCACCAAAAAAGAGAATTCTGGCTTTATTTACTCAGCCTCATGTCATTCCAAACCCATAATGCAATTTTCCATGAGAAGAGTTTTTTAATTTTTATTAAAGAGACTTCATGCAGCTCTTGTGCATGCAGCTACATTATTCACCATGTCTGTCAAGCTCCAAAAAGACAACAAAAACAAACAAAACGATGAAAATGGAAAGGTGTTATTCACTGAAAATCTTCATTTGCAGCTCTCACGTGCCATTCTTCGTAGGATAGTCAGTCTAGTGTGCTTGCTTTTGGTTACAACACATTCAAGAACCAGTGCAGATTGTTTCTTTTCCCCCCAAAAAATGAATGTGTAAATATGTTAGATTATATTAAATGATATTTTACTTATAAATATTTTATTATATTTTTATTAAAATATATAATATTTTAGTATTATATATTGTTATAATATTTTATTCTTTTATTATAAATAAAAAGGTGTAAATAATATTTTTAATTATATTTCAGTGAAATGCCACTTAAATTTGTGTCGTTTCCTCGCACAAAACTATTGTTTGGCTTCAGTAGACTTGAACTATTATTAGTATAATTAAATTATTATAGTTTTATTATATTATAATTAAATAATTTTTCTTAAATACTCATTTTTGTTTGACAGTAAAATATTAAAATAGTAATGAAAATGAAAACTTATTTACTGAAGATCTTCAGTTGCAGCCATAAATAGAAATATTGTAATTTACAGTTGTACTGTAAAATTTAATTATATTATTTTTCTTAAATACAGATTTTTTTGTTTTACAGTGAATAATTACAATAATAATGATTATTTACTGAAACTCTTCAGTTGAAGCTTAAATTTAGTTTAATATTTTAATTTAGTATTAATAATAATTTTTATTATATGTTACTAATTATTATTTTTATTATAGTCATATTGATATATAATCACAACAGTTTTGCAACCCTACAAACAATCACAACAAACCTGGAGCTTGCATTTTCTTTTTTCGTTAGTTAGTTATTTTTAACTATTTTATTTTAAATCGCAATTGCAATTTTTATCGGATTTTTAAAAAATCATATTTCCACAGAAAAAACATAGCAGATGGGTTTTTATTGACATGAGATTGAGTGAATAATGTTATGTAAACCCTGTAAAGGTGTCTAGTAGGGATGTAACGATATTATCAATATCGCCATATTGCGATAGCAAAACTGTCTCGATATTATCGCGGTCGCCTGACGATATGAAACGATAGGTCTTCCGGTCAAAAAAAAAATTTGAGTTTTTAAAATATATTTGTTTTAAGCCATTATGCTTTGACACAGTATCTGTCAAACGAACTAAAACCGAAAGCATGACTTCATCCCGTCATCAAGTCTATTTTTACTGCGTGTTTTAAAGCAAAGCGCACACATTATTCATGCGATCAGCTCGTGATCCGGTGTTTTCTACGCCTCAGTTCACAGTGAATGAATGCAGTGAACTCGTTTATTGCACGTGCGCTGAGTTTAGCGCACGTTTGGGAACGCAATGGCCAGCAGTTCTGCTTTATTTTCGCAGCAGATGATTACAGCATTTCACTAGATTTGTAGTGAGAGCAGTGTTGCCAACTGCTTTCAATTGAAAGTAGCTAAAACTGGTAGCTAAATGTCACTAGATGACATCACAATGGCAAATTCATTGATCTATATAAAGATGAACGTAGATCAGTGGGCAAGATGAGAACTTGGATAAGGTTTGTCCAAGCAGTTGCTACCCTGATAGCACACACACATCTCGGAGACGTCTATTTGATGTCTGCATTTACATCTGCAAGACGTATTTTTTAGAGTGTTTGCTCATCTGCAATACGTCTATAGGACATTTCCTTTTAGATGTCAAATAGACGTCTATTAGATGTCTTTAAGATGTTTATGATTTAGAATGTATGTAAAACTGACATCTGAAAGACGTCTGTTAGATGTTTGTCCACAGCAGATGCTTTCCAGATCAAGAGATCTTTAACAGACATCTTGCAGACGTACATGTGCTATCTGGGATATTTGTCCCTAAACTTTTGAGGAAAGTCTCAAAAGGGGAGGGGAAGTCACTAAATCTAGCTACAAAGTAGCTAAATTGGCAACACTGAGTGAGAGGCGTTTTTGTATTTTCACTGAAGCTGGAGTTTCCCTTCAAAATAAAAGCTCTACTGCCGTTTCCGTCAAAATAAAAGCTTAAAAGTGCATTATAAATTGCTGACAGCTAGCGGTTTCAAATGCAGTCCAAATTCAAAATATCTCTTTCAGGTGTAGAAATTAGGGAAGAAGTATTGTAATTTCCCTACTGTAGTGTAAAGCAAAAATATTACACCATTGAAATATTAATTTTTACTTATTTTACAGCAATTGTTTTACAATAAATTACTATTACAGTCATTGTTGTTGTTATTATTATTATTATTATTATATTCAAATTTGTTTGGCTTCCTAAAACACTAGTGTGAATGTAATTTAGACTGAGATAGTATATCACAAATAGAAAGAGGGTTAAGTCCCCTTTAAAGTTCAGGTACAAGTCAATTCACTGACTTTTTTCTGACTTAAGGTTTCTTAGTTAAGAACATGGGTTAGAACTCATAATTTTGAACTCTCAAAGTGCATTAGATGGAATAATTTAACTCTAAAATGTACAAAACTTAATTTGTCTTTTTAAATATCGCAATAAATATCGGATCGTAGACTTCATATCGCAATATTATCGTATCGTGAGATTTTGATATCGTTACATCCCTAGTGTCTAGGCACTGATGGTTTCAAGACTGAATTTCAAAAACTTAGTTTTTTTTCTTATGAAGTCTCTTTCTTTCTCTGTCCCTTTCAGACTTCTTAGCAGTCTGAGTCTGCGTAAACTGCTGGCTGGTAACAACAGGCTTGAGAGACTGGCTGACCTGCTCGACCACATCCCACTGGAAACACTCGACCTGCAGCACAACAAGTTACGGGAACTGCCAGAGAGCTTCTTCTACAAAGCCTTAAAGTAGGTCACTCCCTCCTTCTGCCCTCTTCTCGGTTGATCTTACTCTCCGGGCTGTGCTTTCTTTCTTTTTTCTCGTTCTCTCTCCATTTTCCTTGTGTTTTTCCTCTCGATTTTCTGCGTGTGACTGGTGCAGTGCAAGCTGCAGCTGCGTCTCTCTGCTCTGTGGACCTTTAGCTCTGCTGCTTGAGCTCTTCATCAGACCTCCTAGCCTTTTACAGGAACTTAGCAAACCAAAGTTTAATATTTGGCTTTAACTAAACCAAAAATGAAGAGGATTTGGCATTTTCAATTAATGTAGCCCTGTTACTTTCTTATTTTTATTAGGCCTATTATTATTATGAAGTTACTTTTATTATTAAATTAAAATTACAATTAATTTGCCCCGCAATATTACCGCATAACTGACGTGCTGCGAGGGTAACAAAAGATAAGGCTATTTGCTCCTCAATTAAAATGTTTTAAAAAAAGGTCTTTTAAAACAGGTCTATTATACAATTAATTATAGGCCTATAATTAAAATATTAACACGGCAGTCATCAATAAAAATCAATGAAATAAAAATCTTTATGTAGCCTATTTTAAGCGCCGACTTTCAAAAACTACCTGTTTAACACCAAATATGTTTCTTCTCTTTTTTTTTTTACTATGTATGGGCCACAAGAGAAATATAAAGGGAATAAATTTAAACCGTTAGCTATATACCGTTATCGGCATATGTTGAAGTAGATTGGTCTCTGAGAGAATATGCGGCGTCAGATGCCGAAAGCTCCGTCATTACTCAGTCTTTCTGCTTTTACTTTCACTTTCTAGTGATATCCATTGGCTCACCTTCATGGTTTAAAACATAAGTATTTCCAACATTGCGACGAAAGCAATTATCCAACCTAATAATCAAAATGACAAAAACACACAACAAAATGACTAAAACTTTAAGTTTTAACTTGACGAACGTTCTAAGCCCTGCCCCCTCCTTAGTTACTGTTGCTCCTTCGGACAAACAAACAAAGCTGCTCACTCTCTTACAATGACAGCAGTCAGTGTGAAAACCTTGTCCCACAATGTTTTTGAACAATTATGGACACAGAAGGGCCACCATTCAAGTGTGAATTAAATATTCCATGGAAGGATATATAAAATATTTTAAAATAAATACGGTGGGTAACTCGAAGCGAGGGTTTACAGATCACAGTGCAAGCGGGAGAAGCCTCATATTACGGTCGTCATGATCGCAGATGACAACATGCAGGATCAACACTGTTCATGTATCTCAGGGTACGATTAAATTAATGTACATTTAACCAGTTTAATATGGAGAGGCACTGAAATGTAGACCTTCATTTATGTGTTTTTGACTTACACTGTACATGATGTGAGAACAGTTTGCTATTTAGGTTTGTACGTTAGCATGGACTCAATTAAGTGTTAGCGTTAGTTCTGGCAAGTCACGTGAGTCAAGCTTGCATCAGCTGATTCTCAGCTGATCACATCTACCTATAGGAATACGACACCTATCGCGGCATTCCTATATAAGCTCTATTCAGTATTATTCAGCAGCTTTTCAGCTTGCTCTGGAGCAAATTACCCTCCTCCATCCCCAGCTCCTCCTTTCGCCACAGTCAGGACTTGGCTTTCTGATATTCCTTGCTAATCAGACTCCTTTATCTTGAATAAAGTGTTACACTTAAATGTCATTAAGTACATTAATGATATCTGCCTTGTTCTGTTCTGTTAACCCTGGGGGGGTTATTATTGCTGCTCTCCCTGCTCATTCATGACAGGCTGCATGGATGGGCAGGGAGGTTTTTGCCCAGAACAGAACCATACCGCCAAACCAAACTTTATGCTAAGTATCTATCATTTTGACGATAGTGGTCCTGACAGAACTAACTTTAACGTTAGCTAGTTTTAGCCAGAGATACCTTTGCTGAAACGCAAGATGACATTAACGTTCTGCTTGAGCAGATGAAAATTGTAATTTAATGAGAGTATGACAACAAGAAAATGAACGTTTTTGTCTTCATTGGGATTGGGGTTGAATGCTTAGGGACATTTGGCTCTGTTCGGGTTTAGGAAATGTGATCAAATAAATTCTATTGCCCATCCTCTCAGGATACATGGAACCAGTGTCACACATACCACAAGCACATCGTTTTACCATTTTTGTAGCATAAACACCATCAAACCGATGCGAGCTTCAGATCTTCCAATGTTTTTCTATGGCACTGAAAACTAAAGATGTCCGAGTTCCGCTCCCTGTGCAACTGATACTCGACTGCCATTGGCTCATCTCAAGTACAAAAACCGGACAAATGCCTTGAAATATATCATCTGATTGATTTCCTGAGGTGTGGTAACCGTAGTATAAGTGGAATAATTGACTTCGGTCCATTGAATTCTCAGAAAATATATTTTTTATTATTTTCTAAGAATTCAACGGACCGAAGTCAATTATTCCTTATATATAATTGGATCTTAATAATACTAAAATATCTAAATAAATATATTTCACTGTAAAAATGTGCATGAGCGTGTTTAATTATTGTATCAGCTGCTTGCACAAATGACATGACACTAAAATTGTTCATATTTTAATTTTTGATTGAATTTTTATACACATTTTTTAAATATACAGTATGTAAAAAAAAATTGTATAAATATGTTTTAAATCTTTATAAAAATATAAACAGCTGAACAACTGTCAGGCTACTGGGAAATGTAGTTTTAGTTAGTTGTTGCTTGCAGTTAGTTACTTACTCCACAACACTGGATCCACAGCAGCACAGAGGAAGTGACATGCTTCTCCAGAGCCTCTCATGGATGTGTACAGGAGGATACGGCTCAGTGAGGCACAGTAATATGAGCCCGCAGCTCTTCCATTTCCTGTGGCTTAATTTACTTGTCATCCATTAAGCATCTCTAATGCTGAAAGATGTGCTGCAGCTCTGAGGCTTTGGTTGTATCCGAGATGATTCTGGCTTTATTAACATGCTTTTTTAATTTTATTTAAACAGCATTACTTGTACTGTGTGTAAACTTACCAACTTGTCTTCCCTGTTCTTCTCGTCTACTAGTTTAAAGTATTTGAATGTGTCTGCCAATGCGCTGGAGACGATCCCGCCGAGCAGCCAATCGGAGGAGAGCCTCAGCACCCTGCAGGAGCTCTATCTCACAGGAAACAACCTGAATGAGAACTGCGCTGCTCTACTGGTGGGGCATCAGAACCTGCGGGTCTTGCATATGGCTTATAACCAACTGCAGTCCTTCCCTGCTAGGTACAGGACCTTGAACTAGTGTGCTTCCATCGAAAGGATGGGAGGAGCCTATTATTCAAATGACATGTGACCCTGGAGCACAAAAGCAGTCTTAAGTCGCTGGGGTATATTTGTAGCAATAGCCAACAATACATTGTATCGGTCAAAATTATAAATTTTTCTTTAATGCCAAAAATCATTATGATATTATGTAAAGATCATGTTCCATGAAGATATTTTGTAGATTTCCTACCATACATATATCAAAACTTAATTTTTGATTAGTAACATGCATTGCTAAGGGCTTCAATTGACCCTTATGACTGGTTTTATGGTCCAGGGTCCCATATACCAAAAAGATCAGAGATTATATCAGTGTATATGACCATGAATTGTGCTATTGTTCCTTTCTAAATGAGCTCCCTTGTTATGTTTTCAGCAAGCTCAGTAAACTGGAGGTCCTGGAGGAACTGAATCTGAGTGGGAACAAGCTGAAAACGATCCCCTCCACCGTGTCCAGCTGCAAGAGACTGCACACACTCATCGCCCACTCCAACCATATCAGCGTGTTCCCAGAGGTCCTCAGCCTGCCTGAGATCAAGGTCTGTGACGCATCATGACAGGACATGTCAAACACTGCCCATATATATTGGAAGGGTCTTTAGGGTCACCCAGAGAGTCATCAAGTGGCAGTGATGAATATCTAAAAATTTTATATATGAATGGATAGCAGTTGCAGTAATTAAAGTTACAAAAAAAAAAAAAAACATAGACATGTTTTGAATAAAACATTCTAATCAGCATTTTAGAATGCTTTCTGAAAGACTGGAGTAGTGGATGGAAAATTCTGTATTTTTAATCAAATAAATGCAGTCTTGGTGAGCATAAGAGACTTAAAAAAAAACATGAAATCCCAATTATTCCAAACTTTTGACCAGTAATGTATACATTCTAAATCTAAACAGAAATGGTGAGAACATGCAAATTAGTGACACTTCATTCAAATTGAAACCTAAATTTCTCTCAATTGCGTGTTTAACTTCAATTTAGATGTAACATTTAAAGTTGTTTAAACACATTGTTTAAAAGTTTTTTTCTTAATTTTTTTATTGTGTATATATTATAATATTTATAATATCTAAAAAACAAAATAAAAAAGCTTGTTTAGTTAAGTCTGGCAAAACTGAATAGTTTTTGTCCCCCTCTAAAAAATATATATATATATTGGTTTTATTTCAGTTATTTCACATTATTTTACAATGCATATTTTTTGTTTTAATATATTATATATTTTATATTCTACGTTATTTTAAATGTACAAGTTTATTTAGTTATGTCTGGCAGAACTGGATTGTTTTTGTCCCCAGATCCAACAGATGTTTGTTATACACTTAATTTTATTTTACATTTGATTTCACACTTTTTCACATGATTTTTCATACTCTTTTTACTTTATTTTGTTTGCTTTATTTACTGTATTTTACATTTTTACAGTCTGCCAATATTGAACGATTTTTCTCCCAAAATCCAACAGAATTGCGCTGTTGCTTGTTACACACTTCATTTTATGACCATTTTTATTTTACATAATTGATTGACTTTATTTGACATTTTACAAGCTTATTTAGTAAACTCTGGCGAAATTGAATCACTTTTGTCCTCAAATCCAACAAAATTGTGCTGTTGTTTATTACAGTTTATTTTCATGAAGTATGTTGTATTTCTTCTGCTCTTTGTGTAGCTAGTAGATGTGAGCTGTAATGAGCAGACAGAAATCCTGTTGCCGGACTCTCTGCCTTCAACCCTACAAGAGCTGGATCTGACCAGCAACAGCAGCCTCATGTTAGAGCACAAAACACTCAACCTCTTCAGGTGAGACGCTACAAACAGCAGTCCTCCGTGTGGGACACATAGCACACTATGCAGCTGATGAATATTAATACGTTCTGATACTCTCACAGACCCGGGTGGTTAATTGCTTTTTGTCTTTATCTCTGTGTCCTCCTCGCTTCCAGTCACATCAGTACTTTGAAGCTGGACCAGAAGCCAGCCGTGACCGCAGGAGACGCACAGGGCACGTCCACCCTGTGGGATCATGGTTACGCTGAGATGTGTGGGCAAAGAAACAAGTGAGCAAAATCTGAGGACATGAGATTCATAGATCAGGAAAAGATTAGTGTGTTTGTCAGTGTTGGTTGAAGAAAGTCCCAATCAAAAAAAAATCTAGTTGTTTTCCAGATTACCACCCCCAACCTATAATTCTCTATTATATATTGAGGATATATTAAAGGGGTCATATGATGCTATTTTAAGTAAAGATCATTATTTTGTGTATTTGGTGTAACAGAGTATGTTGACATGCTTTAATGTTCAAAAAACACATTATTTTTCAAATACTGTACATTATTGTAGGTCCTATATGCCCCGCCTCTCTCAAACACGTCGTTTTCAACAAAGCCCCCTCCTTTGACAAGCGCAGTCTGCTCTGATTGGCCAGCTGACCCAGTGCATTGTGATTGGCCGAACACCACAAGTCGGAAATGTAACGCCCCTTACCATAATCGCGAGCTTCAAGCTTTCAAAGTAAATATCAAGACCGTTAATAATGTGGTTAGTTTTACCATCAGTTCAAGCCCGAAAGGGCAACAGAGTCGCGTGACAGACACAGTGATGATGCAGTACACAAGCCGCGGTTAAGACAGCTGACGTGCTATGATTTCTGACAGGAGTTCACTCTCCTGTGATGTGACCCTGTTCCCCTCTCACACACACACACACACACACACACACACACAAAACGCGTTACTCTGCACTGCGCAAAAATCCGCATTTGAACAATCAATAGCAAATACTTAAACTAATAACAAAACAACATTTTTTTTAGAAATAGCCTTTGTGCACAGCCAGCCTTGTACTCTTCTAGGTTAAAAAAACTGTCGTCCATGAAATGCGTTGCACAAATTCGAACATCTGGGTTGTGCTGTTCTGTTGTAAATAAATCTTAACCAATGATTCCTAATTGCATCTACTTCCGGAAGACCAAATAAAGTGCTTTTGCTTTCGCACTGAAACACACAGCGTCTCCCTGACATGCTGCATCAACACTACTGCTGTTCCTGAAACCACGTCTTCTTTCTTTGCGTGAACATTTGGGCGCATTATGCTAATATTTCCACATAGTGAGGTAGATATGTGGGGGAGTGTTAGAACGAGCCGTTTTAGGTAGGTGTGGTTGACTCTTAACTTTGATAAATAATATCTCTTTGGATTTGAGACTTTAGTCTTTGCAACTTTACAGATCTTCTTTATGCACCAAGAGCTTGTAACACTCCAAAGAGAAAGGAAAAATTGAAATCGCATTATATGACCCCTTTAAAGAAAAAGCAATCAACTGCTAGCAGAAATGACCAGTTTCAATCAATTTAAATTCAATTTTTCAACGCGGTAAAAATCTATTTCTGATTAACCCATCCCTAAACATCACATTTTTAATTGGGTTGGTTGTTTTTCATGTCATTCGGACAGACTCTTCCTGTCCAAGTGGCCGATTCTTGGCCAGAGTGAATCAGGGCCAGATTCATGAAACATTTGCAAGAATAACATTTTTCTTAAAGGGTTAGTTCACCCCCCCCCCCCCC